TTTAAATAAGCCTATGTACATATAAAGAATACCACTTAAGCTGGTGCTTATTACGAATTTTTGTTTTGGTTCAAATTTATTTGAGAAAAATCTCTCTCCGGATCTGTGCATTCATCCTTGCTATGGGATGTTCTTTCTATAATGTGAATTCTATAAAATTTAATTTGTTAATTAAAATTTAGAAACCAAAATTACTTATCTTTTTCGCTCCATAATTTATATCTTGTGGAAATTCAAAACGCCGAGTTTGAGCTGCAAGTTTGAGCACGAATTTTAACAAGAAAAAAAAATCAAGTCAAACACATATTCATAAAAATCAATATTAATATCTACCAGTCCTGCAAGGTAGTAAATTGATGACAAAAACGAAAATTGCCAACTACTACAAACCAAAAAAACAAAAAATTTGTTACCAACTATCAAAAAAACAATCTTCATGTTCTGCCAGTTATCATCACTGTAAAGATGTTCTATATGGAGTTTTATTTTGTTGTAATTATCTTCATGTGAAAGTTTTATTTATGATAAATATCTTCATCTTGAAGATAAATCTTTACTTCTGGCAACACTGGTACTGGTATATTTACAAACGCATTACTTGGCCGCCTACAACTTTATAGAGCGCAAAGATCGATCGGAATTCTGATGAGTAAATAAATACGTACATATGGGGAGCTATGAATTGAAAATTTTACTTTCGTTTAGTTTGACATAAAGGCGCTATTATGTAGCTAAGTAAACCAAGTCAAATAGTACATTCGTATATACCTACATACATACATGTATATGTATATGTATACATATAACATATGCTCTGTGGGAAAATGTAATGTATGGCAATCGAAAAAGTAATCAGAAAAACAGCAGTTTCCCCATTCTAAAATACATTTTTTTCCACGGCGATGTCCCAAAAAAGTAAGGCATTCAATTGTGCATTATCTAGTAAACGGGAATGTATTCGATTTAATAGGAATTGTTTGGGCCTTAAACGTTTATAGTTTCCTACTGGGTGTATTTAGTATTCATATTTATATGAATTGGCACACTATATGACAACGCTACCCGCTTGATTACACTCAGATACAAATTATTAAATGTGCATATATGTACTTTTCTAAAACCATATAATAAACAAGCAGCGTTTGTTTGTCTCTTGACGCTTTTGACTCTTTAACTCGCAAGATTTGCCGCCAAATGTACATATATACATAAATACATCTGTGTGAGAAATGTTATTATGCCAGACAATGATGCCGTCATTAGTAAGGCATTTCTCAGTGTTTTCTTTTCGCAAGCAATAAACTAACAAACATCTAAGCAGATATTCTAAAAAAATTGCCACAGCAGAGAGTAAAAAATTCTCCTAGCAAACTTTATTGAATTGTATAGAACTTGTTAGCTTATGTTTTTGTGATTTTTGTTTTATTCTTTGCGTTTATTTACCGACTTCAAAAAAAGGAGAAGGTTATCAATTTGTTTTTTGCTTAAAAATTACCTGTTTAACGTTATGTATATGTACGTAGGAAACAGGTATAAAAACATACATATGGTCGTATGAAAGTAAATTTAATTAATTTTACACACTAACAACAAAGTTGTCTTTTAGGTTGTTAAAAGGATAGCGAAGAAAATAATAAATACGTACATATGTATATAAGTGATATACGTACATATGTATATAAGTGATGAGGCAAAAGTTAGAGCTTGTGCTAACGCTAATAGTAAGGCTTATAAGAGATTTAATAATCCAAATTTATTTTAGAAACATCGAGCGAAACCATCGATAAGACGTATGAATTTGCGAATATGGTTCGATTGCTTCGAAAATAGATTGAATTCTTCGACATTGTACTTTCAGTGTCCGTAAACCATTCGCCGATGAGAATATAAAACATTGGCTCACGCAACCGCAATTTACAAAGATTGGCGATTAGCACTGTACATCAAAATCCTCAACAACGCGCGCAAGTTAATGAACAACTTTAAGAGCATACGTCGCAAATTCATGCAGGATGACTACAGAAGGCTCCTTAACCGCTGAAACAAAAGCGAAATTCCGATCTGTATCGTAAAGAGAGAAGAAGTACCGTTCCGTTAGAGTATATCGAGCTTTTTTGAGTTACGATTGGTCCATCTGATGCAATTTGGTAATTTTACAATGCGTAAATCTTTTATTCAGAGACAACAGGTTTGAGTTCGGCAGGAGTTAAAGTCAAATTACTACAGTTAACTGAACCACCAGAACCCCTCAGCTCATAACTTTATGGCGAATTACCAGAATAAGGACAATTCTTGGTGAATGCCCACAAATGCAATGATTACGCAGTTAAAGGATTGCATCGCAAGATCCAAGAGATTCAACACCGAACCAGATCATTCTTCAAGACAGTGAATAAACAGAAGGAAGTTATTAAAATTTATTTCGTTGGCAACTCGGATATACACCATTGGGCGATTAACTTTACTACGAAACGCCAGATCATTGGCAACTTGCAACAACTTCATCACGGACACAAGGCTTTGATTAGGTTATTTAAAATGGCAATGGAAGATATGCCATCTGACCATCTGACAACCAAAAACCCCTAATTAGAGCAGATAAATGTACCACTGGTAATCGTTAAGTGAATAGTTGGCGAAAGTGTTGTACCAAAATATTGCAACAAAAAATTAATTTTGGACGAGACGAAGTGGAATTTCATATTGAACACTGCTCAAGACTTTAGACTCGTCACCATCATATTCACAGGACTTAAACCCAAAGGATTTTTCCATATGGTCCATTCTTAAGGTCAAAATATCAGCTAAAATATATGAGGCAATCAACGCCTTGAAGATTTCTTTCCACCGCCACTGGGGCAAAACACCATCATATTTCGGAAAAATATTAAGATTTACGTGAGCTTGACCAATTTGAAAACATCTCCAAAAAATGGGGGTTTTTTATGAATAAAAATATTTTTTTTTAAGTATTTGTTTAAAAAAAATCACCTCAGATGGCAAAACAGTTTAAGCTTAAAAAATTTACATAAAAGCGTTTAAAAAAAACTTTTAACGGCATCATAAAAACTAGATTTTGATGCTGTTTTTGAACTTTTTTCAAAGATTTGTTTAAGAAAAACATGGATAACTCAGTCCAAACTATTCCGAGTTAGACTTGTGATCATCATTGGAAAGGCAAAGAAATAAAAAGAGCGAGAAAATACATTTCCAATGATAACGCAAAAGTCTAAATCGGAATAGTTTAAGCTGAGTTATTCAAGTTTTTCTTAAACCAATCTTTGAAAAAAGCTAAAAAAAACAGCATCAAAAATCCCATTTGCCATCGGAGGGGATTTTTTTTTAAGTACTTTAAGAAACTATTTTTATTCATAAAAAACTTAATTTCTGGGGGTATTTTCAAATCGGACCAGCCCACGTAAATCTTAATACTTTTCCGAAATATTTTGGGTGGAAGTCTTCATATATAAAAAACTTTTCAATATCGGCGGAAAAACCGCAACTTTTTTTGGTGATGCAGTCTAAAGTAAATACACTCACGGACAAAACTATATGCCTAGAGAATTTTTCACATCATATGCAACAATTTTTATTTTAAATTTTTCTGGCTAGTTTTTTATAAAAATACAACAAAAAACACAAGAATACCAATTCTAAACTTTGTGCGAAATTTAGGAGAATCCAATAAAAATGCATGCAAATTGCCAATTTTTTAATCCGATTTTTGTATGAAGTGCAAGTTTGAAGTAGCCAGGACTCACCGTTGATTTTTGGCAATTTTTTAACGCAAAATGGAAAATGCGAAACACCTTCAGCAAAGAAACCTATCAAAAATTAAAGCGATTCTTTATAATCTTCAAGCTGCATATTTTATACTTAAATTTTAATAGGCTACAAAACTCCATTTTCAAAAAAATCTAAAATTTATCCAAAAGTTGCAAATTAGTAGGCAAATTTATTGAATTCTCCTGTATATCAAAGTGCCTTGTGACTTTTTTCCCCATTTTATGAATTATGAACAGCAGTGGAATCCTAGAAACTGCTACGCTAATTTTCATTCGCTAAAAACTTCAAATGGCATATTTTTTTTTTAACTGCTTGTATTTTTTTGTATTTAACACTTTTAGCATTGGGTTCTACTTATCAATCTAAATATGTGTATGTATGTGAAAACCTCCCACTTCGGATGACTGTCATAGAGGTCTCGATAATAATTCAAGTACACCTAACTCCTCCTTCTTAGTTCTATCGCCGCAAACGGGCGTGTTTTATAGCTCCTGTGGTACGAATAGATGAATTTTTTGCTGGAATATTTAAAAAAAAGGGTCGAGAATATACGACGGGTGTTGAAATACTGTTTTTGCATGAATTTTCCACTACCTTCTCAATCATGGTGTCGAGTCACAAAAAGTAATTTTTCACAAGTAGTAAATGAATTTAGTTAATAGGTTGGTCCATAAAGACTCCGTCAGAGAAAACTAATACTTTTTACCTGTTGGTATCCATATTTGAATTTCTAATCTTCCTTATGCTAATATGAACGCCATATTATTTCTATAATTTTGTTCCAATATCACGACAATAAGGAGCCGATTACACAATATACCATTATGTCATTTCTGTGTAGCCTTTTTGTTTATTTTTTATATCTATGTATTTCGTGTTTTTTCTTCGATGCTGGGCTTCTAACTATTTATTACATGTAATACATGCTCCCTGTGAAACCCCTAGAAAATTTATTGCATACCAAATAGATATGCTTAAGACTAAGACATGCCAAAGAGTGGCGGAATTACTTTTTTGTATACTATTTATTCTCTTTTTATCAGTGACATACAAATTCATTTTAAAAACTATATGTACGTAAGTAATTCAGAAATGCTACATTATAACTGCAGACGGCTTATTATAGACAGATAAATTAATTATATAGTAGTTGGGTTGCAGGTGAAATTAATGTAGAACCCAAGCACTGCCCTTTTAGTTTCTTGATTTTTTTATTTTTTTGATATCCAATTTAAAGATGAGAAGGTGCCCAATTTAAATTTGCCAAGCAACATACAACGTAAATGATTTTAGCAAATTCACAATATTTAAAGTAAGACACACGATACATAAATTAGAAAGTTAAAAATACAAATGTATCCACAGTAACTTAAAAAGAGCATTATATTATAATTTATATTTGTTTAGGTTACATATTGTATTTATGCAAATTTTAAACTAGGCATTTAATCATTTGTAGTAATGTACTATTGCGCCAAAATTCTGTTTAATATAGACTGCCCTTGTTCTCTATTATTTAACTGAAAGAACTACACTGAAAAGAATATGCGCATTATTCAACATCAATAAAGCTTTAGATTAATAGCGTTGAATTTGGGAGGTGCGCATTGGCCACGAATTGGTAATTGGTACATGTGATTGCAGTTCCCTTTAATATCTGCACTCACCATAAATCAATAACCATTTCTGGTTTCATTTAAACATTTATGAAATTTTGTATTTCTCTTCTTGTCTATCCACCACAAACACCTGATTTTTAATATACTTCTTTTACCAATCACGATCAAATACATTTAAATTAGACTTTATTGTTCGTTTTACTGTAACAAATCGCCACGCACAATTTCCAATATCATTTTGTGACGGAAGTATTCCATATGCTGTTGGGTAAATGTTATCTCCCGATTCCGTGTTATATACTCGGCAAACATACAACTGAATACTCCACAATCACTGCCATTCATCTGTCGTGGTACTTCACGTACAGACTCGACCTCAAATCCGCTAGTGTCGAATGATTGCTTTCGCTTATCCAACGATTCATCCTTGAGATATTGTTCCAGTGCTTTCAGTACACTAGGATTTGGTGTGCCCATTGAATCATAATATTTAATGGTGCGATTCTTCAGATGTATAATAGCCATACACCAATGCACACCACCAACATGCACTGGTACGGGAATTATATCTTTGGAAAATATATCCACCTTGCGTGTCCAACGCTTTACACCACTATGACCAGCCGATAGTAAGCGTGGCACAAAGAATGTGTTCATTGCATAGACAGTAGGTAAACCGTGTGATTCATGTCTTGTATCACCACGCTCGGTAAGCAGATTCATATAGAAATTGATAACCTCATCGTTGAGCCAATTGTGTCCAAGTAGCGTGTGTATATCACGACGTGTAATGTTTAGATTGAATTTCGACACAAGAACCTAAGTACGAAGAAAAGTTATCTGTGTAAATTAAGTTTAAGCTTAAGTTTAATTCACGTTCTACCTGGTCGGGTGGCCCTATAATTGCCTCCTTTATTCGCGCTTGATATTCAGGTGTTAGTTCAACAAATTCAGGCTCTTCTTCGACTTCTTGTACTGGAAAATCATCAATCACGAGCAAATCTGGATCGACAATTTGTATCTTACGCAGACGATCCTGCATTTCCAATTCAGCTGCACGCCGCTCAGCTGTCAGCTTCTCCACCCTAGGGGTTAATATACCATTTGAATATATAATTTGCCTTCCAAAGCCTCTATGCAATCAACTTACACATTCACCGTGTCATTAACCTCTTGCAGACGATTCTTCTTCTTTTCAGTCCATTTAGATTGTAGTGCTTGCAGCCAATTGGACTTTAAATGTGGGGAAGTATTGAAACGTTCTTGCAATGTGTTGACTGGTTCAACGTATGGACTATGGAATAAAAAATATACTTCTAAGAATTACATTTAAAACAGTATATAGCTAGTGACTCACAGGCGTGTAACACATTTTTTTTTGTCTTTTGTGCCCAAAGGAACGCCGCATGCATTCTGTTCTTTTAATTTTGTACATGCCGAAACCACTTGCCGCTCATCGTCATCCAAATCAATTATTTCACTTATCTCATCTTCGTCATCGTCGACAATCACCGTTGGCAGAACATTTCGTACAGGACGCTGGTCCTTCACACTAACGAATGTAACATCCTCATTGTTCTCTTCATCATCGTCGTCGTCCAAATTGATGGTAGACGAAAGTGGTGGTCTTTTCAATGCGCGTGGCAAGCTGTTTTGTAAACCGAGAGACTTTCGTTGATTAGCTACTGGTTTCTGGTTGCTATTATTTGCGTGCAGGGCGCCTCGACGTAGCGGCGCATCAAAGCCGAATGGAGGCTTGGCAAAAGAGTGTACATTTGCACCCTCTGATGCACCATACAAACACGGTACAACCTGTTCTAGTAGCTGCTGGTACTTTTCATGCTCCTCGGTTTCCTTTTCTTGTGTTAGAATTGAACGAGCATTAGTAGCCCACATATTTGAGCGAATGTTTCCCAATATATTCAGCCCACAATTAGAAGCTGCTGCATCCCAGAAGAAAATTTGTTGTATAAGTTATAAATTTTATTTGTGGGTCATTTCAAATACTTACATGTTCCTCCCGAAGAAGAAATTGAGCTGGCCGAACGCCTGCCCAAGACGTGCCCACCACTGGCAGGCATTTGTAAGTTCTGTCGCAGGACCTCCGAATACGACATTGGTTTGCGTTTCGTCAAATCGATCTCAGGCATAAGTGATGTCGCTAGGATGCTGCCACTGCGTGGCTCAATAAGTGGAGGTGGCGGTTTCGAAACCGGCGCCCGAACATTTTCACTCTCACGCAAAATGGGGATATTGAAAATGCGTGGTACCTTTTTAATAGCGCGCCCATCATTCAAGCCAGACCCACTAGCACATCCAATGCCAAAGCCTTTTACTATTTGAGGTTCATCATCATCATCAGAAAATTCGACATCAGCATAGGATGTATTTTTTACCAAACGATGGGTTACCGTAGGCGCCATAAACATCGACTTACGATATTTCGGCTTTTCTATTAAATACAAATAAAACATTTAGTTAGCATTCTCCCAAAAAAAAACAGTTTGCAGGCCACGGAGTCTAACTAACCAATGGAGTGTAACGACTTGCGCTGTGTCATCTCTAGTGAATGCTTGGAAGCGCTGCTAGGCGACTTGCATGCCAACATTTTTTTCTCCTGCTTAGGAAAAGTAGAGATCACATCAAAGTCGCCTGCAAACGGCAGGAGATTAATGAAAGCGGACAAATACTCTACAAATACATATTAAATACTTACCATCATCCAGTTTGTGAGTTATAATTTTAGGAAAACGATTATGTACTTTTTTATATTTTATTGGCTGCTGATTGGCATCTGCAGTATAGTTCCCGGATCTGAAATATTTTAATCAATAATATTTAATATTTATGTACAACCGAGTCAAATTCATTTTTATTAATTTCTCTGTGCATTTGGAAAAAAATGCTCATTAATCAGGCAATACCTTTTTCGAGATCCCTCTCCTTGCGCGTTGTCTGTGGAATCGGAGTGTAAGTTCAACAAACGTTTTAATCTGCTGATTATATCGATACCCATCTGTGAGTTATTTACACTACCCGCTAGATTTGCCGGCTGAGTGTAGTATTCGTCGCAGTCTTCTTCTGTTTCTACTTCCTCTTCTTCAATTTCGTGTACCACCGGATTACGGTTACCGTTTAAGTGCCTATGGCCAGTTAAATTCAACCCGTCTTCGGCTAAATAATAGCTGCTTGTTACACTTTCCCTGCTGTCACTGCGCTGTAGCTGTATCGGCAAGTGACCATTCAATACTCGTTTGAGAGATGGTTGCGGTGTTATCAGTTGTAGTGGCGGTAATTCTAGCTGAGTTTGCCAACTTTGGATTGGTATTCCTGCCGGCACTGGACGCAAAGGGCGCTTACGTGATAGCTGGGGTTCACTGTTCTGCTGCCGACAGTGACCAAAAACCTGATAGTATAAGGGATTAATTACAAATTTTAAGGAAATATCTATAAATACGTACCTGATTTGAGAGTTGAGTTTGGCTGTACTTTCGCTGTTTAGGCGCTGGTTGAACGAAATATTCGTAATTGTCTTCTTCGTCTTCTATTTGTATGATAATTTCGTCAGCGACAGGTGTTTGGTTTTTTTCAACGCCCTTATCTTCGGCTTCTGTTGCTAATTCGTTGCGTTCCTTAATCACTTGATTTTCTTGAACATCATCTATATCGATCAATTCATAATTTCCTTCTTCCTCTTCCTCCTCTTTGTAAGCTATATCGCCGATTCCGTTAAGTTTTGGCGGCACGGTGTTACGGTTTATTAAACCTGGCGGAGACAATTTTCTCCTAGGAAAATATCTATTTGTATCTGGTTCAGCGATGTTAGGAACCTTTGCTTTGGCAATAGCACCCAATCGAAGTAGGTTTAAGCGTCCGGTATAACCGGCATAGGCAGCGTCACCTTCAGCTTGCGCCTGCGATTGCAGTTGTGTACCAGCAGTGTCTTCGACGTCGCGTACATGCGCCAGTATTGAGTTGGCGTCACTGGCGGGAATGTGATTCTTCAAGAAAAATTGCAGATTATCTTCCAAGGGTGTGTGTTCAATGTACATCATCAATGTGAACGGGGATGGTATACGCCGTATTGGAACTGAAAATCTCTCTAGCCATTTACAAAAGTTCACCCGACAAGGCAAATTTTTACGCTCACGCCTTCGCTATTAGCGCATAATATTATCGCAAAATTGATGCGGAATCTAATGAATGAATCGGTTCACAAGTTATAAAGCTTGTCCTTCAACTTTTGTAATTTCTTAATAAACACTTCAAATGGGTTAAAATGCAATTTTTCACAGTTTTATAAAAATTTCTCTTCTCGCTTGTGAAAAAAAGCCGCCGTTCGCAAAAATTGTGAAAAGTGACACATGGAGTTCGGCTTCTTACGGTTGGCAGGGCTGCATGTTTCGCGTTTGTTGCCACTTATGGGAAATTTTAATATCCTTTATCAATTGGAAAGATAATAAACGTGAAAAAGTGCAGTAAAGTAGTTAACAAAAGGAAAGTAAATTTTTATATGTGGTACGGTACTTATTCACATTAACCATATTATTCGTGGATTTGCTGGAAATTGAGTAATATAAGATTACGCACCGATTAGGCCAGTAGCTCCATGCAACCTTGTTGGGAAATTTAAATTTGGCGCTGCCATATCACGTACATGAATGGAATGTAGCGATAAAATTTGTTTTACTTTTGCTTGTACCATGTCTCATAGCATGCTATGAAGCTGTGCAATTTTAGCAAAACTAAAATTATAAAGAAAAATTAAATTCTTTTGCTTTATGTATCATACATATGAGCCATTCTATTTTAATTCGGAAGGATTTCGTAAAAAATGATATCATGTCTCCGATTCGCTTCAATTTGTTTTTATGCGTTCTATACATGAAATAAGCTAACATGCGTTCAAGAAATTTTTTTTTTTAATTTTTTTCTTCGGAGATATGGGGCTGGGTTCTGTAACTGAGAGAAAATGTACTCATAACCAAAAACTCACCGAATAAAGTGCAGTGAGTTTTCGGAAGAGAAGTGTACACAATTTTGATAGCTTAAATGTAGAATACCTACAATTCCTAAATTACAAAAATGTATAATAGGATCGATAGGGATCTTAGTCCTGATCATAAGGGTCTAATTTTTTTTATGCGGGAAGTAATAACTACTGGTGTTATTGAAGTTCCGAGTACGTAGAAGCTGGGAACAACTGCACTAAGTGCAGAATATGTACATTTCTCTGATTTAAAAAAAAATTGTCAGGATCGATAGGGGTCTTAGTCCTGATCATAACAGTATACATTTTTTGTGGGGGGCAAATAATAATTACTGGTGTTATTGAAGTTCAAAGTAGAAAAATGTAGGTATTCTGCTTTTGTTCCAAAACTCATTCTCACACTTCCTGAATCGCAAAATGAAGAGTGTACCCAATTTTCAGTGTACACTGGGAAACTCACAATTACAGAATCTAGACCCTGATCTGTCAAAGTTTGGATTTTTTCGTGATTCTAACTAATCATGTACTTCTTCAAATTGTTATATCTTGGGTTCTGCTCATCGTAGAGACTTCATCTTAACAAAAAATGCAATAATATATGTACGTTATAACTTCGTGCTTTTTCTGAAAGTGTCGTATTAAAAAAACGGGATAAGTTAGTCCAGGAGCATGCAGCCATACTAATCTTGAAAGGTAAATAAAAGCCCTGTGTACATTTTTAGCGCTTAATTTCAAAAATACCAAATTTTGAGTTGTGACTCTTTTGAAGACGGTGTGCGATATGACGAAGAATTTTAGCAATATTATAGACAATGGAGTAAATTAAGGTAATCACATGGTATGCCAAAAGGAAGAGAAAATTGTGCACATTTTTATACCTTTCATGAGCATGAAATGGTATTATAACTTTGGTCCGATGTTTGTAAGTACCAGAACAAAAAGAGATAGACCCATGAAAATGTATACTTATATGATCAGAACGTCGAGCTGAGTTGATTTAGCCATGTCCGTCTGTCCGTCTGTCTGTCTGTTTGTATGCAATCTAGTCTCTCAGTTTTCAAAATATCCGGATCAAATTTGGTAGGTGGGTGTATTTTTATAATGTATTAATCATTTGTCGGAACCGGAAGAATCGGACCACTATAACATATAGCCCCCATACAACTGATTGTTCAGATATGAGATTTTTCATTATAACTTCTCCATTTATGCAGCTACGAACATGAAATTTTGCAATACTTGCACCCATTATCAACAGAATACTTACAGTGAAAATTACAAAGATCGGGTCACTATAACCTATAGCTCCCATACAACTGATTGTTCAGATATGAGATTTTTCGTTATAATTCATCCATTTATGTAGCTAGGACCATAAAATTTCGCGCTGTTTTCACTCATTATCAACAGAAGACTTACAGCGAAAATAACAAAGATCGGGTCACTATAACCTGCAGCCCCCATACAACTGATTGTTCAGATATGAGGTCTTTTATCATAACTCCTCCATTTATGCAGCTAGGAACATGAAATTTCGCACCATTTTCACTCATTATTAACAGAATACTTACAGTGAAAATAACAAGGATCGGATGACTACAACATATATCTTCCATACATCTGATTGTTCAGATATGGGATTTTACTGTAAAACTCCTTTATTTGAACAGCTAAAACCGATAAATTTCGTAAGATATTTTATAAATAATAATACAAAGTCTACTGAGAAAATCGTCAAAATCTATGCTGTATAAGCTTTATCTCCTATAGCACTGACTGTTAAGATACCAGTTTTTGCCATATATCTCCTTTATGTAGGAAACTAAACCCAATAAATTGTGTTACCGGTTTACATACCGATCACATAGCAGTGAAAATCACTTAGATTGGTGCCATATAATGTATATCTTCCATACCTCTGATTGTTTAGATGCGATTTTTTATATAAGTATGTAACTCCTCTATCGATGTATGCAGATGTATTCAAAAGCAGTAATCTGTCAAAGTAAAATTTGCAGATGTTCATGAAAGGTATGAAGCCTTCGGCATAGCCGAAGACAGCGCTGCTCTTACTTGTTATAGAAGTATTTTTGCAACGCCGTAATATGGCAAAATTTAACATATCGTCGTTTCAACAAAATGTAAAACCTTGTATCAAGATAATGCAAAACGGCGTATGTGAGGTTGCATAAATTATTTTTATAACCGAGCGCCCTTGTGCACAAGGGTATATTAACTTTGTTTGCATAACGGTTGTTTGTAACAGCCAAAACGAATTGAGATAGATATGGACAAATGTATACATAAATGATCGGAATGAAAAGAGAAGTCGATTAAGCTATATCTGTCTGTCTGTCCGTGTACACGATAACTCGAGAAAAAATTGAGATATCTAAACGAAATTTGGCATGTAGGTTGCCCTTTATCCAAGGTAGGTTGGTATTGAAAATGGATGAAATCGGACTGTAACTACGCCCACTTCCCATATAACGGTATTTTCGAAAAATGCAAAAACTGCGATATTTCAGTAAATATTAGATGTAAATTGTTGAAAATTAGTATGTGGAGTAGAATTGTGGTAAAAAATAATAATGTTACAAAATTTTTGGAAAATGGGCGTGACCCCGCCCACTTCTGATGAAATGCTGTATCTCAGTAGCCGCTTCACTAATCCTTACCAAACTCGGTACGAGGCTTGGGTTGGGTCTAGCTGAGAAATCTATTGGACATCTTTGAAATCCGGCAATAACCACGCCCACCTGCCATATAACAGTAGTTTACAGAAACACGAAAACTGCGATAAATCAGTAACTACTGGAGCTAATTCACTTAAAATCGATTATTGCAATAACCACTTAGCAGAAAATAAGATTATAAATTTTTAGATAATGGGCGCGGCACCGCACACTTATGACCACAAATGTGTATCTCGGTAACTGATATATCAATTTCCACCAAACTCGGTGCACTTAATAACCTTGGAACGAAAAATCAATTTGTTGAAAATTATTCAAATCGGAATCGCTTCCCGTATAACGGTAAATTTCAGAAATACGAAAACTCCGATATGTCAATAACTGAGGACATTAATTTACCTCGAGTTAATAGTTACAACAATCTCCTAACAATAAATAAGACTGCTATAGACTTTTAGGAATTGAGCGTAGTACCGCCCCTTTATAATTACAAAGGTTTACCTGGGTAGCCACTTTATCATTTGTACCTGTGTAACTAGGTCCAATTATATAATTAAGTCTAACTCTGTATATTATCGGAAACGTTTGAAATCGGGTAAACACCCCTACTTAGCATGCAAAGGTAGCTCAGAGAAAGTTGAAACGACGATATTTGATACCTGCGCCGGGTATATAAAGTTCGGTTTCGCCCGAACTTATACTTCGTACTTGTCTAGAGATTAAAAGCACTCATATTTCAAAATATTTCTCTTTTTTATAAAGCATTCCGTCGTTTAAAGTACAAAACCGCGTATCGTCATTCTGCAAAACCGCGTAACTGACATTGGCTGCCAAAAATTGGATTTGCTCACACAAGCTCTTGGCTCAATCCTTATCCATTCGTCCTGAAATATACTAGCCAGAAATGCGATTGCTTTATAAAAAAGAGAACCATTTTGAAATATGAGTGTTTTTACGCTCTATAAAATAATTTCTACAACTTCACATACGCGGTTTTGCATTTTGCTGATACGCGGTTTTGCATTTTGTTGATACGCGGGTTTGCGTTTTAAACGACGATTCGCATTTCTGGCTAGTATATTGCAGGACGAATGGATAAGGATTGATCCAAGAGCTTGTGTGAGCAAATTCCATTTTTGGCAGCAAATGTCAGTTACGCAGTTTTGCAGAATGACGATACGCGGTTTCGTACCTTAAAGGACGATATGTAAAACTGAAAATGCTATATATACTGTGGCGAATACTGCCAACGCGACGCGACGCGAACAACAAGAAAATGGTAGAATGTTGGTGAAATGACGTAGAATATTCGACAGCGAGAAACGTCAAGAATATTTAGTCTGTTCCTTTGAACTTCGGACTAAAACCTGTGGAACTGTCAAACTACTATTTTACTCTCTCAAGTGAGAGTAAATGAAGAACAGATGCAGAAGTGCACGGGAACGCAAAAAGCACTATTTCCTGTAAAAACGTCAGTCGGTTTGTTTACATGTCATTTGTACAACACTGATTTGGCTGAAATATCACTAAATAATTTTTAAAATCTATACATATTCAAACATTTCGTTGTTTACTTCCATTTTTTTTTACAAATATAAGGTTCTTTGCTTTCACCGCTTTTTGTTTTTGCTTGCACATGCAAATCAGCTGATCGTTTCACACTTTTCATGAACTTACAGGAAAAAAAAACTCCGGACTAAATCCTGTAACTTCTGACTAGGAACAGTTGCTCAGTTACTCTCTCAAAAGTGTTCCCACTTACAGGTTTTATGTCAATAGTCTTTCCAATAGCAGTCCGGTTTACAGGATTTAGTCCGAACTTACAGGAAGTCGTTCCTATTGCCATAAAACTGTAAGTGGCAACACTTTTGACAGAGTAACTGAGCAACTGTTCCTAGTCAGAAGTTACAGGATTTAGTCCGGAGTTTTTTCCCCTGTAAGTTCATGAAAAGTGTCAAACGATCAGCTGATTTACATGTGCAAACAAAAACAAAAAGCGGTGTAAGCAAAGAACCTTATATTTATAAAAAAAAAATGGAAGTAAATAACGAAATATTTGAATATGTATAGATTTTAACAAATTTTTAGTTGATAATTAATTATTGAATCATGGTTCCCATGTAATTATGTACATATTCAGTCTTATCATGAGTCTCATTTTGTTCGAACCGGGTCACGATGTAGAGAACAAAGGTGGCGCCCATAACGGTACCGCTATTCCGGTATCAGTGAATTTGACGGAATCGCTATTTGTATGACGTCACACTTGTGCAACTTTACGTTTTTCTTGCAACATTTCTTCTTTTCCGATTTGGCATTTGTCTCACGCAACTGCACCAGTGGGCCGTTACACAAAAGTTATTCTCAAAAATCCTCTCTAATGGGCATAATCTTGTATTCTATCATTGTTGCCGTGTATTCACTACGCGTGGATGAAAAGATTGTGTTCGTGCGAAACTCACGATTAGGTGATTTATTTTTATGGGCTCAGGATACGGCAGAATATCTCAAAGACCATGTTTACACGAAGATGAACAAAAATCTGACAAAGAAAAGCAAATTTGCGCCGAAATACCGATTCAGAAAAAGAAAATCGGCGCAAAGGTGCGTGTTTCGATACCGACGCGTCTCGCAAATGAGAAATTGGTCATTTAATTTTCTTTTGTGGCTTATGTTTGGGCTTTAGCGTATGTGGCGAATATTTATTTATACTGTGGCGAATACTGCGGCAACACAAAGCGAACAACGCGAAATAGGCA